CACCTAATCCTTAACTGTACCCCACAAAACTATAATAAAAATACTGATTAATTAAAAAAATAAATAAATAAAAATAAAAAAATAAAAAAATAAAGCTGAGATGGATTTTATATATCATCAAAGCTAATGCCTTATTTTAGAGTTGAAGACCCAGAGATGGGACCTTCCCAAAGTCATGGTTACTTGATGGCAGAAAATAGCTAGAACCTATTTTTTCTGATTATTATTAATACTCTGATATTTAACATTTGAGTTATTTTTGAGTTACTGAGTTATATGTAGCACCATCATCACTGTCTGAGATTGGCTTTTAACCTGTCAACCAGAAACTACATGACCATCAAATTTGAGAGGAAGAAATACTGCCTCTTGGCACCCACTACAGTTGAAATTATTTTCCAGTTTTCAAGGATTTCATCAAAGATCCACTGTTTCATAATTGGTATCTTTCTCAGTAGACTGTTGAAGACCAATTTTACTTCACTAAAAAAAAAGTTCCCAACAGTTTTGCCCATGAAGAATGCCAAGGATCTTTGTAAGTATCCCATAGATAGAGAAGCTTCACTCTGGTGGGGGATGGAAAGTGACTATTTCTATATTTCCTTCTTATTTTTTCAACTTATGTAATGGTATAGGGAAGATGTAAGTTTCTTTAGAAGTCATTCTTTTCTGAAGGTTTACAATAATTCTCATAAATTCAGTATTTAATTTAAATACCAGTATTTTAATTTCTTTTCAAAATAGAGGTAAATCTTGCTACCTGAACTCTCATCATTTGGACTTAGGAACAATGTAGATTTGGGTTCAGTTTTTGAAATAGCTATTTAGAAGAACAGATATTTTGCTATCTAACTCTTGCTATTCACTCTCCAAATGCAAGAATCCAAGTGACTCAGATAATCAATATCCTAATTCAAGAGCCAAATTGGTTTAGAAAATGATATCTATATAGTCCTAGAAGTTCAAAATGTTTTACTATGAGCTACTTTAGAATTCCACTTCCATTTTTATCTATGGATCAATTCTTTACTTTTTATTAGGAATACCTAAAGTGAAAAGCTGAGTAATAATAGAACAGAAAAAGGAATGACAGAGGGCTGGAAACAGCCTTGCAAAAAGTGTAAGGAAGATGAGAGGAAATAGGTGGGGAGAAGAGGGGAATGCCCTTATCTGAAGCTTTGCTAATTTGAAGCCTTGAGAGAGAAAAGGACATGGGGATGTGGAATGAGAAAACCTATATTGAAGGTCTGACACTTCTGTAGATTATCTAGGTGATTGTGAACAAATTATTTCTCATCTGTGAGTCTCAGTTTCTTTGTTAGTGAAACATAGGTGAGAATAGCATATACTAGCTACCAGATCATATGCATAAAAGTACTCTACTATTTGGGAAGTGTCCCAATACAAATACTGGTGGTGGTTGTTACAGATGATAGAGAATTTTATCTTAAATTTATTTTTTATTTTAAAGATGTGGGGTACAATTCAAGGTCATTATGCAGGTACCTTTGTTGATGAGATGCGCTCCCCCTCCCCAGTTTCCCACTACTGCCAATCCTTTTCTTATAGTATTGCAGTAATTGTTCAAGGTTCGTTTATGAGTGAGAACATGTAATACTCAGTTCTTTGTTTCTGTGATAGCTCGCTCAGTATTATAGACTGTAAGTCCATCCAAGTTGCTGTGAAGTTCATAATTTTGTCCTTCTTTGTGGCTGCATAATATTCCATCATGTATATGTACCACATTTTTTTTATCCAGTCCTTTTTCGATGGGAAGCATGGTTGGTTCCATGTTTTTGCTATTGTGAACAATGTTGCAATAAACATGTGTGTGCAAGTATCTTTTTCATAGAGTGATTTGAGTTCCTCCAGGTATATTCCCAGTAGGGGGGCTGCAGAGTCGAATGGAAGGTCGATTTTTAGATCATTTAGGACTTGCCAAACTATTTTCCACAGAGTTGTATTAGTTTACACTCCCACCAACAGTGTAGAAGTGTTCCCTTTTCCCTGCATCCTTTCCAGTATCTGTTGTTTTTTTGAGTTATTGATGATGGCCATCCTGACTGGAGTTAAGTGGTATCTCTGTGGTTTTAATTTGCATTTCTTTGATGACTAGTGAGGCTGAGCATTTTTTAATGTATCTGTTGACTTCTTATGTTTTCTTTTGAGAAGTGTCAATTCATATCTTTTGCCCACTTTATGATGGAGCTGTTTGTTTTTTTCTTTTCAGTACATTTGAGTTCCTTATAGATCCTAGATGTTAGACCTTTGTCAGACACATAGGTGGCAAA